AGTGTGTTGTCTATATATCTCATAACCAAAACAAGTTACTTTACCTGTAAAACTCTTTTTGCCAATAAATCATTTCTGATTATGGCAAAAAGACAAAAACAAATAAACTTCAGAACTTTAGGAAAAATGAAAATTTAAAAACACAAAGGTATATTATCAACCTACAATATATTCGAAAAGTAATCTGAAAAATATAAACTTTTCTTTCCAGATCAATGCCTCACCAGAGACAGCAATGCAGTATTAAAATACTGAATTGTTGGCAGAACAAGAAACACGAAAAAAACAACAAGAAGTTCGTCCATCTAAGCCACAAAGAGCAGGAAATAAAGGAGCAGAGTTAATTAGCTGATTTTGAAACATACCCAAGTGGAGAGGAAAAAAAACTGAAGCAGATTAATAATTTTACTGGAGAATTTTTAATCCCTAAAGATTAAAGAATAAGTTAGTTTTTTTTAAGGGATAATTGGCTTGCAGTTAGAAAATAAAACCAGACAGCCCTGATGAGCAAAACTCACAACTTTAGAGATTTACTGGTACTCAGAGGCAATGAAACTAGGCAGTAAGTGTAAAAGAAAAACAAGATACTCTGATGTTGGTTGTTGGTAATCAATCTGCTCCTGCTTCTGTGGGAAAAAACTAAATTTGTATGAAAGACAGATGAGGGTCCAGAAGGTTACTAACAGGATGAAGCCAAACAGCCACGTGGCTCCGTGGGGATTACAAGCAAAGTAAAGAGATTAGACTCAAAACGGAGCCTGCTTTTTTACCTCATCACTCTTGGCACACTGGCACTGCAGGAGGAAGATAACATTTCTCTTTGTACCCTGACTCCCCTTCCTCTACATCTCCTCCCTCGTTTGCACCTACTGCTGCATCCATCCATGCAACCAGTTCTGCCATCTGCAGGGATTCAGCCGGACCAGGAACTGCACTGGGGAACAGGAGCTGAGACGCATATTTAGGAGCAGAGCAGCCTGCCTTCTTTGATTCACGTCTGTCAGCAGCTCCATTGGATACGACACCACCTCCTAATGGACTTGCCAACACAAGATTCCCAATATTTCTCTTACTTGGTGGATTGTGTTTACACATGATCACTGTGGAAGTAAAAGAGACATAACTCAACCCACCATGCTTTTGAAGTCAGGAGCATTTCTCACCTTGTGTCTGTTTACACTCCAGGCGAGTCAAATCAAAGGTAAGTGGAGGGACAGGGACTCCAAGCTGGATGTTTTTTCCTGGTGACACAGCAGGTTTAGGAAGCTGCTTTTGGATTGTGGTTGCAGGTCACCAGCTTGAAAAATCCCGAGTTTGTCCAATTCTGGTGTGTTTGTGTCAAATAAATAGTGGGCAAACATCACAAATGCAAAATGTCAGCTCAGTCTAAGGTAGATATTGGTTTTCTAGACATCAAGCAAATGTCAAACGGCTCACAATCAGTTTTTAAGGTCATGAGTATTTTCTGTGAATCAAATTGTCATATGAGAGGTGTTTGCTAGGATGGAGAAGAGGATTTTTTTAGAAGACGGAAAATGTTTGAGTCTGGCCCAGTTGTTATCCTTCGGTACGATGTGCCCCGGGTGAGCTCATTATTCCAAACGAAACAAAAGCCATTTTGTTCTCACTCTTGCAGGACGCTAATCTTTTCTGGCTTGTAATTCTCTTGTGGGGCCTTTTGAGGCATTAATGTCCACTCACAAATCACTCCCTCCTCCTGCGCAGGGCCTCATGTTCCTGCATGTGTACAACCCCCTGCCAGCTTAGAGAGTCCAAAAAATACATTTCCCTGCATTAAATAATGGACAATATGCTGCTGATTTGACAAACAATAAATGAATATTTGCTTCCTAGCAACTTTTATTAACTTCTAAACCCCCTTACCTTTTATTCGTTAAACAATAATGGATTCCTCTGGTGTTGGTACCCTAAGACTCTCACTTTGGCCATATTTGGTTTAGATGGAGACTGTTTTAAAGAATAAGAATAAAAACTCGGGCATCTAGTTAGGATGCCTCCTGGACGTCTCCCTGGTGAGGTATTCCAGACACGTTTTACAGGAAGGAGGCCCAGGGGGACACAAGGACACGCTGGAGGGACCATGTTTCTCGGCTGGCCTGGGAGCACCTTGGGATTCCCCCAGAGAAGTGACTAGGTAGAGGGACATCTTGGCCTCCCTACTGAAGCTGTTACCCCCGCGACCTGACCCTGGATAAGTGGAAGAAGATGGATGGATGGAGAATACAAACGTTTAACTTTTATTTACAGTTTGATCGGGTTTTGGCAAAAAACTCTAAAAAAATATTAAAAACTATAATGGTTATCTAATAGGCAATGGCCAAGGCTAGAAATTAGCAGGGCTTTCCATTCACCGCCGTGACCATATTATATTATGTAGTATTTAATATCAGAGTAACTTAGATTCAAAAAAGGAAAAAGCAGGTTTACACTGCAAAAACTCTAAATCTAGATAAGTCATTTTTTCTTAAAATAAGTGCATTTGTTCTTGAATTGAGGAGGTATAAGAGACATTTTGCCAATGGAACAAGACAATTTACACTTAAAATAAGAAAACACAATTGCATTGTCTTATTTCAAGTGCATTTTATCTTATTTTCTTATTTTAAGAGTATAATTACTCATTCCATTGGCAAACTATCTCATTTACCTACTCAAATTAAGGGTGAATACACTTAATTTAAGAAATTTTAAGTTATTGCTAGATCGTTTTTGCAGTGTAGACGAAGTTTTCTTATTTAAGATTAAATATACATATAGGATATATTTGTGTATCTATTTAGAGAAGAAACGAGACTCATTTGAGAATACATGTACATTTAAGTAGCCATTGAAAATTTCCCCACTTTCCTTAATGGGTCCTTTGCTGGTCCAACAATTACTTTTTAAACATCAATCTTTGTGCTAAAATAATCGTTCTGTCGTGATTTGTGGACATTAAGATCTAAAGAAAAGCATTATCTCCTGGTCAGACCCTGTAATTCAATGAAAGGATGGAGTTGGAGTAAAAAAAAAAATGCACTTCCAGGAGAAGGCCATTGGCTGGAAGTTGGAGGGGATTCTGCTGGTAGCTGCAGGGAAGTGGGCTGCCATTTGGCTGGTGATGACTGGGAAGGGCCTTTTTTAATAGCTGCCACTGTATTTTACCTAAATATTCTGATTTTAAAACATACATACAAAGATTCTAAATATCTGTCACAGCTTTTGGTTTATTTGCCAGTTTTAAATTATTAGAGGAGCCCATCAGTATCTCATGCCGAAAAAATGAAAGTCATTAAACATTTTAATAGTACTACAATATAGAAATAGTAGATAGAGAAAAATATTCAAAAAGAGGAACCAATGAAGACACAGGGACAAACATTTAAGTATATTGTATAGATGAGATAAACACAGGTTGAAAATTTTTGACGTAAGGGTTGATTATAACCAGTAAAGATTACAGAAATAAAACAAACACACAAACAAAAAAACTAAACATGAATGGTCATTTTATATGAAGTAAAAAAAGACATAGGATTAATAAAAATAATATTATAACAAAGATAAAATAGCATAAAAGTTGCCTCTACTTTTGACTTGCTTAAAGGAAGAAAAAATATATTTGGAGCAGTAGTAGAAGCGATGATGCAAACAACAGTATTCATCATCCAGACATGCCGCATTGGCAAAACATAATGGAAAAGACAGAAAATGCCTCCAGTATAAATTCAGTTTCTTTCAGTTCAGTTAATTTATATAACAACAATATTTACAAGGCAAACACATCAAGTTTGGTTCAGTTACTTGCATTCCAGCTCTGATGCAGTGCAGTTAAACCCAATTGGTCACACCGGGATTTTCTGCCTGAGGAGGCAAAGATACCTGCATTAAGTCTCACCCTGCAGCAATCTCTCCTGCTTAACAAGCATGTGGTAACAGTGGACAATTGATTGAAAATCAGCTATTTATTGAATTCAGCGTTGATCAGAAAAAATAAAATAAAAAGAATTTTCATCACTTATCACTGAATCTGGGAGCGGCCATATTTGCCCAAATATAGTAACCCCTCCCTCCTGCCATCTTCCAGCAGTGAAGTCACGGTGCGGTAAGCCTAGCGCCATTTTTCCCGCTTTACGAGCTAAATCAATGGGAACTACTAGACACATCTGCAATCAACAACAATTATTGAAGATTTCCAGAGGACTTCTAGCCTCATGAGACCATCCTGATCTCGCAAGCTTTCAAGATTTCACTCGCAGATCAGTCTGGAGACTCTCCGTTAAAGAAAATTTGGAGCCGTTCACCAAACGAACGTCCAATCAGCGTTGGCTTTGAGGCGGGTTGAGGTGTGACGCAACGAGAAGCGCGACAGTTCAGTCTAAAGAACATGGCGGCTTCAGCCGATGAAACTAGCGTTAGCGTGGCTATCGAGCAAGTTTTTTTCGGAATTCAGAATATTTCTTCACTGAAAGAAGAGCAAAACACTGCTCTGGAGGCTTTTCTCAGAGGAAAAGATGTTTTTGCTCTTCTCCCGACTGGTTTCAGCAAGAGTTTGATCTATCAATTGGCTCCTCTTCGTCGTCGCTCTGTTAGTACGTCATATGCTTCGTTGATCTGATTGGTTTATTTGGCCCGTCTATCACCAACATAGGCCAATCAGCTAACCAGTATTTTCGGCCCTTCCCAAAATTAGTTTAACGGAAGATTTCCAGATAGATATGCAGAGTCAGGTTAGAGGACTTTACCATTGAATTTCACCAGAGCTATACTTAAACTGACGACGCCGACATGCATGGCATATAGGCATTTGATGTTGTAATACATTGCATAAAAGTCAAAATAACATTTATTATTTCACCTTTCCGATTCCTGATCCTCCATGGACGGGTTCGACGTTGGATCGCCAACTTGAAGAGGGAGGATTTGACATCGAACTTCTGGCCAGAGGAAAAAAAAAAAAAACTCATTAATCCGTTATTTTCTGCTTCGCATAGTGCACTGGTCATCACCATCATTGATAATAGCGCGTTGAAACAAACACCAGATTCAGCACTGGGACTTGATCAACAGCCGATACAGCATCACAAACCAGTAGGTGGCAGTAGTGTTCTTTAACAAACATGGATGCCTCCAGTAAAGCACATTCAAATGAAGTTACTCTTAATTGAAAACATAATTTATTAAACAGTATGTAATAATATCATACTTAAAGTACTTTTCAAAGTTTGTTTTCTGAATGTGACCTGAGTTTTCCTTTAAAGGATAAGCAAACTGACAGTTGCATAGAAAAAAAATCAAAGATTGATTGATCCGATATAATCAAGTTTAACTTTCTGCGTCTATATTTTTATCATAATAAAAGCTGATCAAAGGTAAGAAACATTTCCGTATGCATGTTGTGTTTAAAAAGGGGTAGCATCACATCTAGGAAAACAATTTTTTTATAGAAAATTTTCTATAAATTTTTTTTTATATAAAATAATTCTATATGGATCTTACCTCAATTCACCTCAAACACCTTAAGCTGCTGGTTCTTTCACAGCCCAGTGTTTATGTAATTAATACTAAGTTGTTGTTATTTTCCTTTTTGTTTTTTTTAGCCTTCTCAAAGTTTCCTAATCCAGGAAGATCATAGTCTGTTATTCGGGTCCAGTGACCTCCACAGACTGTGTTTCGGGGCTCATAAATCCAGGCTTATTGTCTTAAGAACTTCTGAAAGATTTGCCAGCTGGCATCACAATGAGGTCCTTTCTTCTGGAATAGATTTATTTAACAGAGTGGCCGTCCCACAGATTTGGGATTGACAGGCTGGCATTTTCATGCTGTAAACTTGCTTTGTTGATTTACCTAGTAGTTCTTACTGGGCTCGGCTTCAAAGTTTTCTTTCTTTTTTTTACTCGTAATCTGTGCTTAAGTCCTTTGCTGTGCATGAAATGTATTTCTCTGACAATAATCATAAACAGCAAAGATAGTAAAGCGCTGAACATGTCAATTTTTTTTTTTTCAATAAAATATTCTGCCTGAAATGTATTTTAATCTGAAAAACGAACACGAAAAAAAAAAAGACAATTAGAAGAATTCTATTGAATTATTTTAATCTTTGGCGTTCAGTACTGTGCAGGAAACATTAGCGGTGAATTTTGCCTTGGTACGCATGAACAGCAGTAGAGAACAGGGCTGTATCCCCCCCAGGCTGGAAAC